TTCACCGAGGTTCGTCCATAACGGTTATATATGAAACGAACGGCTCTTCTTTGTACTTTTTCGACTTTATGAATGTTAGTTTGAGTAAATGCATCCCAGATCACTGCAGCATAATCAAGTATGGGGAGGACTATTGATTTTTAAGCAAGAGCACGGACAGATGGAGGGGAGAGTTTCAAAGTCCTTCGTAAAAAGAACAGTTTCTGATTAGCCTTGGAAGTTACTATGTCAATGTGATTTGTCCAGTTAAGATCATTTGTTATCCATAACCCAAGATACTTGTAGGATTGAACCTCGGAAAGAATGGCATTGTTTGTAAAATATTGAAAATTTAATTTGTTTTTCTTATGAGAAATGGACATGTGCACTATTTTTTTTTCAAAATTTATGGATATTTTTCAAGCCTCGCACCAGGAAACAACCCTGTTAAACGACTCGTTTAACAAAACTTGGTCCTTTGATGATTCTATTTCAAAATAAATAACGCAATCGTCCGCGTAGAACCTTATATTTACAGGTATACCGTTTACTATGTCGTTAATATATAAAATAAATAGAAGGGGACTCAGAACCGACCCTTGGGGGACGCCAGAGTCAACAAAAAACCTGTGAGAGGAATGATTGTTAAAATCTACAAACTGTTCTCTGTTTTTCAAGTAGGCCGATATCCATTTAATAAGTTGATCATTCCCGATATTTTTTTCTAATTTGTATACTAATTTATTGTGCGAAACCTTGTCAAAAGCTTTTGAAAAATCCATAAAAATTGCATGTGTTTGTTTTCCATTAATAATTCAAGTAGTGAAGTCGTGTATTGTTGATACCAATAGTGTCGTTGTTGAAAATCCCTTCCTGAATCCATGCTGATGTTGGTTTAAAATACTATGTTCGTCCAGAAAACATGACATACTATTGTGTATAATGTGTTCTAAAAGTTTACAAACGGTTGAAGTTAGCGAGATGGGGCGATAATTTTTGACACTCTGCTTGTTGCCCGATTTATGGATAGGCTTGACTCTAGCTGTTTTCCAGTCGTCTAGAACCTGGCCCTCACGTAGCGATTTTGTAAAAAGAACATGGAGGTATTTAGACATTCATTCAGCGTATCTATTTAAGAACGCGTTAGGGAAATTAGACGACTTTAGACGACGTTAGGGAAATTAGACGCGTTAGACGACTTTCTGATATAAAGGTGCACAAGCATGTTCAATATACCCTGTTCACTAAAACAATATCGGGCATTCGCGGCGGAACAGTTTCAAAGATTGGTAATACAGAGTTGTCACAAGAAAAAAACGATTTGAAGTGATCGTTGAAAGCATTTGCAATTCGAGCAATATCGTGCGTAAGAATACCATCGACATTAAAAATGTCACACTCTTTCGAAGCCGCCATGTTTTTTTGCCACCATGTTGCATCTGCAGCCGCATCGCACGGTTTTCAGCTAGTCAGCCGTGAATGAGAAGGAGTATCCGCTTTCGCTTGACTGGAAAATCGGACTGATTTCTTCGTTCCGGCCTCGCGGCGTGGTTTTACGATGGCTTAGGTGGCAAAGCGAGTGAATTTGCGGTCAGTTTTGTTGCTTTCTCTTCAGAGAGAACAAATATCGAATCTTAACCCAGCGCGAGCCTTCCAAGAACTGATTAGGTTGCAGAGGCGCGCACACACACGAAAAAATAACGCACAAAGTTCACTCAGATTTACTTACCAGGTGTCCTCTGCTTGAAAATCGGATAACACCAACGACTTCACCCCGGCCACCGCTGGCTGCCTCGGAGAACAAAAGGTAGTACAGAAGCAGCCAGGGAGAAAGAAAAAACTGAGGAGAGGCCCCATTCTATCCCCATGCATTGCGAGAAGGGCGGTGGAAGTGACGTCAAATTTATGGGGCAAACAAACTGGTCTGGTGCAAACAAAACAGCAGACGCTTCACGGCGTGCTCTCAGCGCTGCTTCGCTTCTGGGCGGACTTATAGCCCTGGCGTAAACTTAACGGGTATTGTAAGGTTTGCATACAGTAAAATGGTGCGAGCACACCTTTCCGAAACTGTTCGTGCGTGGCAAGGCCTGAATGCAGCGTGCTGAAGCACTTCGTGGAGTGTCTTTGTGCAAGAGCACAGAAGGCACCAGTACGTGTCGTAATCAATATCATGAAGCCCCTGCGTCGTCGTATTCGAACTTACCAAGCAGTGACTTACGCGTACTGCTCGCCGGAAGGTTTTTTTTTTTTTTTAGCGAGAGTTCCTGATCTATGGGCCGATTAGCAGTTGTTTGCTCGTATGTAGTGTCAGTATGGCACGATTATAAGAGCTTGCTTCGTGGCTATTTCGTGCAACGCCAGCCTAGTACTTGACGTACTTCACGACGGTAAGAGAGCACCACTGTATTATATACGCGATAGTTCACGTAAAATGTGTAATTTTATTGCGCACACAACCAACACGCAGCGAGTGCACATCGTACAGTACATACGCATTTAGTGCGATAACTAGAAAAGTTTATTGTCCTTCCCTATGAACGACACAACTTTTAAAAACGCGACACGATGCCTACAACACTAGACACGATACGTGTGTTCTCAGTTGACACAAGACACAATGAGTAAGAACCGGCAGAGCGTACAGTCAGAGCGACAGGGAGGGACGCTCCTTTACGCGCGCTTATTTCGCGGTGGCATGGGGGAAAGAGTAAACTGAGGAGAGGCCGTTACTTCCCATTTTCTGAAGCCGGAAGTCGGCAAGAGTAAAGGACTCCTTCTCTCAATTGTGAGCACGTTACGGCTGCTCGCACATGCGCAATGAACGCCAGTGAAAAGGAGGCGTCGGCGTGCCCGGCGGCTCATCCTTGTAAAGTCGCTGCCCTGCGTCTCCCTCTCGCTGGTGCACGAGATACCAGCGTGCCCACATTGTCCCACAAGGGCCACAACCCCATGCAAAAAAAATGTGACTTCCGCCACACTTCTCACTCTGCAGCGTACATTGCGAGGCCCTCTCCTCAGCTTTCTCTCATCCATGCACAGTGGGTTGATGGGGAGAATCGTACGTCTTGGCTGGCCTCGGGCTTTACCTGGAACGATTTTGCTGTTTTTACCGGGAACACAAAGGTTACTGCAATCATTGCAGTCTCTGTTTGCGAAAAGCGCGCGCTTTTCAGGCACAGCAATGTAACAACTGAGACGCTTTCTCGCATGAATCTGTACCTGTGAATACGTTTCGTGAGTCATTTGTGCGTGACAAACGCGGGGCACGTTTTGATCTGATTTTCAATCTTCGTGTGACCTTTAAACTTGTTGCTATCGCGTCCGTTGCTTCGCCTTTGCGGGAAAGCTATGATTTTTTTCTCCTCTTGGCGTCACGTCACTCATGTTCTAATTGCAAGGTGGCAGCTGACTGACCAATATTCACTCGCATGCTACCTAAAGGCACCAAATCTGCCAGAACGAGACGCCCGCTGTAAATGAAGGAATTCAGTTTACAGTCATGGGCTTGTTCTATTTGCTAGGCACGATAATATTAAAAACTAAAACACAATGACATCCCTTATCACTTTCTTTAACTTCTAATTGACAGGCAATTACTGTGGCGAAAGCCTTCGATGCCCCATGAAGCTCGTTGACCACGATGTTTAAAATGAGTGCCAGCGTCAACACTGGTGATGCAAAATTATGTGATAACATCACCGTATCACGTCATAGTGAGGTCATGGGACGCCTAACTTTGCATCATAAGTGACTACGTTTTTTTTTTACGTGACGCGAAATTTTAGATTTCATCATTTTACATCGTCGCTTGGACAACGGTGAGTCGATACTGGAGGCGCTGTAACCTATATAATGTGCGGAACGCTTTCAGTCTCTCCTATGTCAGAAGCAGTGCAATATCCCTCCGGCTGCAAAGATCTGTCACTTAAGGAGGAGGGAGAGGGGTCTAAAAGAAGACGGCTTTTGACTTGCATTTCTCACAGGGAAACGCATAAGAGATGTCGTGACCATTTATACTGCTAGATAAACTCTACAAATCGTACAAGACGAACCCCAAAGTTACTCAATGATGCGACTTGCGAAACTGTGTGCCAAAAACCCGAACAATAAATTGGTTGATCTAGCGGGAATCATCAAAGTGTCGCACCATTCGGCAGTGGCAACGTGAAACAAAAAACTACGTTAATAGTTGGTTTTGATTATTAACAGGGGACACCGCAATCTGCACACTCCCATCATCTCAGCCAATAGCGTGTACAAATTTTACTGCATACAGTTTATGGGGAGTTTCGCGACTTGTATGACTGAATATCGCTGGGCTAACCCATAACAAAAGAGCAATAAGTTGCCAGGACAAATGATAAACAGTGCTCAGTGAGATGACCTAGAAAATGCTGACGCACCTGGGGAACAAATAATATTATCTGTCAAACCTTCCATGGGTGTAAGCAAGGAACAGATTGTATTACCAAGAACTGCTGTAGAATCTACATCAACAGCAGAATGCAGTCACGTAAGGAGGAGGGAGAGGGGTCTAAAAGAAGACGGCTTTTGACTTGCATTTCTCACAGGGACCCCTCTCCCTCCTCCTTTGCACATCACGGGAGTCAGCGACCGAGATTTCAGATGAATGATGAGGGAACCTGGGTGTTCGAAACACGCAACTATTGTTTTGTTAGCATAGAACACTGAACTCTGACGTCATAGAAAGCGTCCTCCACAGAAGGTCACGTTTTCCGTTTTCTACTTGAACGCGAAATGTAGCGGTAAAAACTGTTGGAAATGTCACCTCTCAGTAGCCTGTTTTAAGAAAGCTATTTTCATGAACATAATGCTATTGCAATTTTCTTCACTTTGTAAATCCAGAACAATTAGAGACTCCGAATGCTCAATCTTAGGAACTTCATCGTGTAGCAATCAGAGTAGAAGAGTGTCCCTGGGCAACTTAAGTTGTTTGTTACTGTTTCACGTAAGGTGTATTTAGTTTCTTGGAGTGTCTCTTTAACTTATGAGTACTGTCCGCCAGTGTAACCAGACCGCAACAGCTGGAGCTCAGTTTAAATATAAGGATACACATAGGTCGAACAATAGGCATTACACATGCTCGATTGCTTGAATTTTCGTATATAAGAACATAACACTTATTAACAGAAGGTGTCTTTACACGGTAGACATGGCCACTCTGTCTCTTGCTGTGGTCCTCTCGGTGTTCGCATTTCTCGAAGTGAGCCATGCTGAACCTGCGACATTGCGAGCCGATGGAGCCGATTCAGGACTCAGGGGGTCAGATTCTGCCTGGCGAGGTCCCTGGTCACCTCAAAAACGTATGTCTGATTTTTTTCAACAATGTTCTTTATTGTTGTATTTTAACACTCATCTATTGAAGTAAGTGAGCAACCAAATTTTTTATAATCTACCATTAAAATATTTTATGCTCAAGGTTATTCAAACTGAATATACACATTTTTTCTGGTCCAAAAGGACCTTACTCACTCCAGTTTCCCGTGTGTTCAGATTTGGATGAACGTTGAAGAGACCTACATACTCAGAATTTCCGGACCCTTTACTACGGCGTCTCTCATATTCATATGGTGGTTTTGGAACGTTAGCCCCCGCATATCAATCAATGAATACACTCCAGTATTAACTGGATAAGAAAATCGATGAAGAGGAAGGGTCTCTGAAAGGACTGCCGACGCTTAGATAATGGGATCAATATTTGTCAACAAAAATAGGCACTTTTATTCACAGGTCATCCAGCCTGTCGGAGGCAATATTTACCGTTCATTTTCTGAAACCAACCACGTTTTTTTTTCATCGTTCGGCTACCGTCTTCAATTTATTGTAAAAAAAATGGCCCCATATTTGCATATTACACTGCAAATATCGTCGAAAGACAATATTGCAGTGTCTTGCGTCTGGATAGATTGAACCAAACGTTTATTTGTTGTTCTGCGCAAGAAATTCGGTGAGTGGTATTCTGGAGGCGCTGCGTTAAAGTGCCTCGAGAGTGCACTGGAGGTGAATGAGCGCATCAAGTCACGTCACACGTGAGACATGAGCGCTATCTGGCAGTTATATTGAAAAACGAAGCGCGCGGCGTGCGCGCCTATCTCGGAGGCGATAAGGTGTAGCACGCAAGGCAACGAATAGGTGCCACCACCATGTTGTCTTAGCGAAGCGTTGGAAACACTCGTCTTTTCGTGCTAGCGCTGCATTGTCAGTGCAGCGTGATAAGTGCTGCGGTCCTTCAAATTACTTATGTCTTTTCTAGTAAAAACACACACAGAATATTGATGTGTTGTTATGGTGCCTCAGATATGCGCAATAATTGCTTTTTCATTGAATAGTGCACAAGTATGAACGCTAAACCTTGAGCAATATTGGTAGAAGCTGCGGATGGGGTGGACCGTTTGGAGTATCATATGGTGCCGTTTAGGCCTCTGGGGCATCGTTAAGGGCGGGCAAACAGAAAAACTGTACAGACACACAGACCTGTATTTTTACATGGAAGGTCTCCAAGAAAGACTCAAAAACAGTGGTACCACCCGGGATTTAACGTCCGCAAGCCTTGATACGATCACAGGGGCATCGTAGGATATGGAACCGAAAGTTTCTATTAGCTGGAGTTTATTAGCGTGGATATGTGCATATAAATGTCGCTCATTTAGGCATTATCGAAATGCGGCTGGAATTGATAGGTACAGTCACTAGACGCGACAATGGCAAAATATCCCAAGAGACCAATTGTCTAAATAAGGCCCAGTTTGGCGCTGGATACTGGGACACAGGAGCAGTGTGTAACTAGGAGGCGCTGGGTACACAGCGCAAAGCGGCTTTGCAGCGTCAAAACGCTGGTTAATTTATAAATAAATATATAGTAAGGGAAGTGATAGAGAGTGCATTAGCGTAAAACAAACAAAAAATATTAATGAAAAATAAAAAAATCAGCATATCCACGGAGTTAATGATGATTAGTGGAGCGAAGCGTCCATCAGCCCTTCCGTGCTTCCGCCCATCCATTCGTTCTTGCTTCCGTCCATCTGCGCGACCATCCGTGCGTCCATCATTGCATCCCTCTGTCTGTCCGTGCGTTCATCTGTCTGTACGTCCGCGCATCCGTCAATCTGTCCGTCTGTCTTAGTCTGCCTGTCCGTCCGTTCGTGCATCCATCTAGTGAACACTCCAATTACCGCCATCTCGCGCCCCCTGTGGCACATACCCTCTCCGCGCGTCTATCCGTCCGTCTGCTAGTCTGTCTGTCATTACGTCCATGCGTCCGTTCATGCGTCCATCTAGTCTAATGCCTTATGCATTTTTAAATCAAATTTTCTAACTTGTGTAAAAATTGAAATTAGCGATGCAGTACGTGACGCTATGCGAGATAGTACACGGCACTAGTAACTAAGGTACACGGCTACTGAATCGCAGGTCGCGGGATTGAATCCTGGCTGCGGCGGCTGCATTTCTGATCAAGGGGGAAACATTGTGGACCCGGGTGCTCAGATTTGGGGCACGCTAAAGAACCCCAGGTGGTCAAAATTTCTGAAGTCGCCTACTACGGCGTCTCTCATAATCATATGGTGGTTTTGTGACGTTAAACCCAACAAATCAAGTCAATCAAATTATTCCTTTACAAATAACAACGGCGTCTTTATTCAACACCCACCAACAGCTGTCGGTCACCGAATGACATTACGTATGTATGCAAGAGCACAATGTTTTTCGAAGAGTTCACATATCAACTCCAAAAAAAAATCAAATGGACTGTAGGAGCAGCCACAGATTGCTGGGTGTTACTGCTGATTTTTTTTACTCTGATAGCCGTTTCTCGCCCTTGCTACTGGTCAACAAGTACAGAGGTTTTATGATGACCAGTTTGTTAATAATGAGTGGTGTTCTCCCGCAGGCGACGACATAACAGTGTGCCGTGGGTGTGCAAGGTACAGATTAGCAGATATATCATGACCTACAACTGAAACACCACCCATTCAAATACTAATAAACTCTGCTGAAAATCATGCCAGTGTGTTAGCTCACTAACGCGTAACAAATTACTTACTGGAAATTGCGTGTTCTTACATACGATTCACAGAAGTACCGGCTAATACTGCCCACAGCTTTCGGTGACAGCCTGCTTTGCTGAAAGCGCTTCTTGTGCGGGCAGTGAACACAATAAAAAAACGGTTTATTTATGTTGAAGAATATTGAAACTATACCTTAAAGTCATTTTCAAACTTTATAATTGTGTGGACTGAAAGGAAGAAGATCCGGTAACATCTACCCCAACGTGTCGGGCACGATAGGACAAAGGTTAACTGGGACGGGGCATTGGGCAAGAACGCTCTCGGTGTAGCGGAATTGGAACGCTTGAAATTCCTGCATTTGAGCTTTGATATATTTTTAACCGTGACCTAAACTGTGCGTGAAGTAGAAGGACAAGCATTGCCAGACGTGCATTTCCGGTGCGGCGGTATTGAATGACAGCTCTTTTTCTCGCCTGCACTGGGAAAGCTTGCGAAGTGATCGAGAGAGCTCATTTACGTCTCATCAACTTTGTGGCGTAAACTATGCCCTGTTTCTGGTAGAAATGGTGCCTATAGGTCAAAGCTTTAAACACTCAACATTGATTAATATGTGGGGTTTAACGTCCCAAAACCACCGTATAATTATGAGAAACGCCGTAGTGGAAGGCTCCGTAAATTTCGATTACGTGATGTTCCTTAACATGCACTATACATAGAATCGTTACGCCTCGTCACTGATTCCAAGCTGGTATAAGTAAGAGACATACAAAAAAACGTGCATTAGTTGCTGTGCAACACGCTCGTGCGCCGCAAAAATTAACGCTGTTATTGACAGTGCGTACGTACTAAAAATGAATCGTCCTAGGAAACAAAGTATTCAGCGCAGGCTGTTTTATATATCTTAGGTATTTTTCTGCTCATTTCGACAGAAAACATAAGAATGACACCGATTTCTCAAATCACACACCACGGGTATCTTAATCTTATTCTTTATCTTTGCCAAGCGACATATCGTGAAACATATGCCTGGGACTTGGGAGGGTGACATCTATCCGTACCATCAAATAAAACGTTTTATAACTTAACAATATTCGAACGTACTTTCGAACACGTTACATAAGCGTGAACGCGGTACTTGTACAAACAGTGCATGCTTCAGTATGCACTAGCACACTTAAGTGAAAATTTCAGCGTTTACAGCGCTTCCCAGCAGCCGCCAGCATCACAGCAGTCAAGCCAGCAATCCTACCAGTATGACTAAGCTACTCTCTAGAGCACTAACTGAAGTACCAGTAAGTCCCAGCGTGTACCAGTGTTAACAGCGTGTACCAGTGCCGAAAACGTTGTACAATCACGCTGGGGACGCTGCTTTTATGACAAAAAAACCATGACACCCTCAAAATCAACCGACATTACAGAGCTAGCGAACCTTTCAAATTTAATCAACAGGCGTAAAATAGCCGATATCTGAAGGTTTATCATTCAGAGATTTTAGCAGCCTGTGAAAAGCGACCAAAGCCTAAAAGCTGGAAAGGAAACTTATGCTTAGGCAAAATTGGATTTATCCATTAAGAACAAGGAAGGCAATGTCATAACCAGTATGAATTCAATAGTTAAGGTGGCGTAGATATTCTACAGAGAGCTGTACAGAAGCTGAAACAACCAGCATGATACCACAAGAAGGAAGAATGGCCCAGAAGAATCCGGCGTCCCACCAGTTACGACAGGGAAAGTAAGGTAACAACAGGCCTGATGAAAGATGGTGAAGAAATTGTGTGAGAAAAGCTGGCCACCCTGAATACCAAGTGTCTGTTGTTAGCAAGAGGCCAGAATGCTGGAAGAACACGAACATAATTACAATCCATAAGGAATGAGACGTCAAAGGCTTCAAAAATTACAGGCTGATAAGCTTACTGTTTGTTCTCTAATATATTTACAATATGAATAGGTAATATAATTAGGGTGGCACTAGAGTTCAATCAAGCAATGGACCAAGCAGGATTTCATACAGGCTACTCCACAATAGGCCATACTTATACTAACAATCAGGTAATAGAGAAATGCACGCAATACAACTAACTCCTATACATTGCTTTCAAAGATTACGAGAAGGTGTTTGAGTTAGCCAGGGCACCAGAAGTAACGCATGCACTACGGTATTAGGACATTGAAAAACCGTACAATAACATGCAGAAATAAATCTATAGTGAACCCAAAGCAGGCCATAGTTCTCAATGAAGAAAGTGACAGAATCCCAATAAAGAAGGGTGTAAGGCAGGCTTGAACTGGTATAGCGCATTACGGGGAAGAAGAAACGGCCGAGCAGACCGACACAAGAGGACAGAGCGCTACATTTGCGGAAGAAGGTAGGAGGGAGCCCGATGTACAAGAAATGAAGTCCACGAGTGTTGAAGATTGGGCGAGCTGGTTCGTCGTACTTGAACTGGTATAGCGCATTACGGGGAAGAAGAAACGGCCGAGCAGACCGACACAAGAGGACATAGCGCTCTGTCCTCTTGTGTCGGTCTGCTCGGCCGTTTCTTCTTCCCCGTAATGCGCTATACCAGTTCAAGTACGACGAACCAGCTCGCCCAATCTTCAACACTCGTGTAAGGCAGGCAGACACGATCTCTCCAATGCATTGAACTGCGTGTTTAGAGAAGGTTATCAGGACCTCAGATCAGAAAGAGTAAGTTATAACAGTTAATGCAGGGTATTGAGGTAGCCTACGATTGGCTGATGACATTGCTTGAGAAGTACAGCAGGACACAAATTACAGCTTATGATTACTCAATTGGACACGGAAAGCAGTAGAGTGGGTCTGCCAAATAATGTGCACAAAACGAAAGTAATGTGCAACAGTGTCAGCAAAAACAAGCACTTTCGCATAGGCGGAGAAATGCTAGAAGCTATTAAGGAATATGTCTACTTATTACGGGTAGTAACCGTGGAGCCGCGCCATGAGAATAAATTAACTAGACGAATAAGAATGGGGTAGATCACATTTCGCAAGCATTCTAAAATCCTGAATGGTATTCTGTCCCTAACCCTCAAGAAGAAGTTATATAACAGCTGCATCTTTTCGGTACTAATCCTATGGAGCGGAAACTTCGAGGCCTACCAATAGGGTTTTTCTAACAATGATGACGACGTAGTAAGCGGTGCAAAGATAACTAATAGGTGTAACTTTCAGATACAAGAAGAGAGTAGAGTGTGTCATGCAAGAAACCAGGGTTAAGGATATAATACTTGAAATCAAGAAAAATAATAGGCATAGGCCAGGAACGTAGCACGCAGGTAGCATACTTGTTGGCCATTAAGGGCAACTGACTTGATTCTTAGAGAAGGCCATTGCCCATGGGAAGACAGAAAGAGGTGGCCGTTTAGATTACAGAGTTCTCAGGTATAACGTATACGTGGCAGCAGAACTCACAACACTGGATTGATTGGCGGATAATGGGAGAGGCCTTTGCCCTGCAGTGGGCGTCGTCAGGCTGATGTGGCTGCCATGGCCAGAGTTCTCACCCACTACCTTGAGGACAGCAATGAACGCCATAACGACAAGAATATCTGGAAATGTGACGTGATAACTGGGGCCGTAGTGACCCTTAGAAACAGGTGTTCTACGACGCAGGTTAACTTTTTCAGTATTACACTAGGCAGACCAGTGGAAAGTAACATTGCCAACGCGAAAGAACTGCACGTGTGGTTAAATTGAAGTCCAACAAAGCCGCAATTGTGAACGGCAACTGATCCGTTTTGTGAAAGCATGCATGTGTGCGTCCAGTTCAATCGCTTGTTCAGACTGTTGGAAATTGGAGAATAAAATGAAGCAAGTTGATGCGTAAGCAATTTTTTTTATTCTTTTATCTGTAGAATATTCAAACAAGGATAGCGACTCAACTTATGTCTCGTTTGAATCGAAATGAAATCATTCTGTCAGCATTCTTTTGGGAGTTCGAATCTTTTTAGGCAAGGTCCTCGCTATTTTTGTTGTTATGTTTCTCGCGCCAAGTAGAAATTTCGACATTGTGGGACACGGACCACACATAGCTCATTTCTTGTGCGGAAGAGTGTGTAAATGTGGGAGTGTTTCAAGTGGTTTGAAAATTGCGCAAATTAATACTAACAATATGATGAATCACCACTTAGCTCGAAAAGTTTCAATGACACACAAAGTTTTGTAATGTGACGTAAGAGTTCTTATTACGTCACATGTAGGTTCTTTCGCTGTTCACGTATTGAGGCAAAAAAAACGTTCCTACTGCATTGTTATCTTGTTAAAAGACGTAAGCGCTCCGCCCCCCCTCAACGTTACAGCAAATCATGAATTGATGAATTGCTTAGAGCCAGACCTCACAAGCTCTTTTTTGACATTTTTTATTCAGTCTACGTTATATAATTTTTTAGATGTGACTGCCAGGTTGGGCGTGGTGAGCGCTAATATATGTGTGCGCCTAACACTTGTCGCTTTTCCTCTCTTCTCCCCTTTCTCTCTTTCCCAGCGTAGAGTAGCGAACAGGGGAGCAACTTGGTTAACTATCATTCATTTCATGTGCCCCTCTCTTTGTTATTTACAATAATACTATGTCTTGGGTTCATCGTTCTTTGTGCTTCTACCCGTACGGAGACGCTGCCTTGATAGCGTCGCCTGCGACTTACAACTGTACACCGTCAAACACAAAATGAACGGTACCTATGACGGCACTGCAAAAGTCAAGTAGTGACTTGCGCTGTATGTGATTTTACGTAAGCAACATCGGCACTGCTACCTCAGGCTGTCCAATGAATATTATTTTCGTATATCGCCACCTCAATCACCAAAGATATGAAACGTTGAATTGAATACACCCACTCATATATATGCATCAGCACTGTCACTCTACTTGTTAAGAATACAAAATGGCATGTGAAAAGCCCAATAAGACGGAACAAAAAGTCAACCATACGAATTGCTGTACTTGAAACGAAAGAAAGTACGGAGTGTTGGGTACAGTGCTATTTTACCTTAACCAGCCACTTCCACAGACCACGTGTAATTTGCGATGTTACACGCTTGTGTATGCGCTGCCCTACCCTTTGACGTCGTTAACATCGCAAGTGAGGGATCACCTTGAATCATAGCTTGCGCTGTAAGCCGAGCCAGGTGACACCTTATGTGTTTTTCTTCTGCACTGCACCACCGGGAGTGTTCTCGAAGACAGTCGTTGCCGCCGCGGTGATGTGTAAGAAAACAATTCAAGCAGGCGCGTCACTTGCGGATCTACATACTTGGAAGTAGCTCTTCTTAGACCGCGGGTTATTTGTAAATCTCGCCCGTGCAGTCAAACTACGGCACTCGGGGGGGGGGGGGGTGTCTGCCACGTCAACGTTTTTAGAAATGCGTTCATCAGCTTCACTTTTGTGATAAAACTCACAGCAACATTGTTGCTATCTTGGTTGAGTGGCGCCAGTGTCTGGATTGGTCACGTACATTAACTATACCCACGGATGAAGCAGAAAAATTCATGATACCTTGGCCGCCACGGCAACTTCACTCTGCCGGCTGTAAGTACAAGTCACTATCATCAATTCCCCACTTTTTTCGCATTAGAAATAAACACGATTCAATATATTCCTCGAGAAGCTGGGAAAAAACTACGTAACAGTTATTGTGTTCTTGCAATCACTTTTATTTCGAGCGAACGCACCAGTCTACGCACTTCACTTGACGAACTAGCTGGCACACCGTTTTGAGAGGGCGAGAATTCCGATTCGCGGAACAACGCGTCACTGGCCAGCAAAGCTACGCGGGCACTAATAACGTTTCTAAAATATCCCAGGTTAGGCAATAGCTGAGCAAGCGTAACAACTAGCGCTCATGTATGGAGGAGTTTCTGGTATCTTCTTTTTTTTCTTTTAGGAACACGGTTTTTCTTGATTTTAAAAGCTGTGATGCGAAACAAACTTTCATGCAGACATTTTCGAAAAAATTATGAAATGGCTTCACTAGAATAGTTTATTGGCTCCCAAATCGACAACAGCATTTCTTTTTAATCTATGTGGCTGAAGCAGAGTTACAAAGACCTGTCACTCGGTGTATTTCTTTTCGCTCTTCTATCGTACTGACGAACGTGCTGAAAGCTGAACAGAGACGGAGTAGATAGAAAAAAAACTGACTTGAGCGTCATGGCTTGAAGCACTTTTTTTCTTATATTCGAGGTAACGCGCTGATTAATTAGCTTCAGTGCTATCGCGAGTGTGTGAGATGGCATGTGGTGGCCTCCAGTGATGACTGCACTAACTATACAAGCAACGATGCTCAAATTAGCCAGTTGCCGTAAGTTTTGGAATATGGCGCTGTAGTTTGGTTATATAACATCTTAGTAGAAATCATACGAAACAATAACTTGGTGACTTTAAAAGAATCCTGAACAATAGGTCGTGTTCTGTACTTCAATATTTTTTTATTTGGTGTACCTTACAGAGCCCTCGAGGGGTTGGTACAGAATGTACGTGAGATATATAGATGTGTGTATATATAGATAAATACTGAATATTAGAGAGAATACAATTCCACTCATGAGCAGTAAGCAAGATACAGACTTAAAAAGTAAGTTAAAATATGTGAAGGGGATCACAAAAGATAATTTGAGAGCAATTTCAAAGCAGCAATAATGTAACAAAAAATAAAACTGACGAACGACTGTACTACGAATAAATGTAGGGAGGGCTCATTCGTGCTTCAGAGACTGGACAACGGGAGAGGAGCATTTCGTGGCTGTGCTCAAAAAGTGTTGCAGACCCTTTCAATAGCTCCAACTGTTTTCTGCGGCATAAGCTAATAAATGAAATGCACGACTCGTTTTCTCCATTTTGTTGCTCTTCCTCAGGTTTTGGCTCTTCTTTTCATGCGATCTCAAATGCAGGATGCTGGAGACCAAACGAGGTGTTCAAGAAGTGCGTCAGCAGCAGTTGTGCTGAGATGAAGTGCGGAATGAAGAGTGCCCCGTTTATATGCACCGCTGATTGCCAAAGTGGCTGTTTCTGCAGAGATGGGTATTACAGGAATCGATGGGGCCAGTGCGTGACGGCATGGCAGTGCAAGGCTTATTACCCATGGAATCCATGGAATCCGTGGACACCCTGGAACCCATATTTTCCAGGTTTTACAACACGCCCCACCACATACCCTGAAATCTACGGCCCAGGAGCGTATGGCCTCGGGAGTCCGCAATGGCTGTGAAAAGAACGTAGCACCATCAGTGTTATGTCGCTCAAATATTTTACTGGTGCATAATATATTAAAGATCTATGATCAGTTCACTGCATTAAGTTCATTTCATTAAGCGGCGAAGCTGCTTCACGTTTTTTTTCCTGTCCAAGAATAAGGGAATTAATCTGAAGCAATATTTAGCGTTAGCTCTGAATCAACGCGCTGCAAAGCGAATAATGGCTGCCTGATATACTCAAAGTGGACAGGAATTATATTTGTTGTGGCAGCCACGTTATTCGTACACGCGTATGCAGAGTTCTTACCCGCTATTTTGCTATATGCAAAACATTCATCGCATTACTAGAATATCGAAAAAATTTTAATGCTCAGAATCGCGCACATCTTCTTAAAGACACAGCTAGGGGGCGGGGGAGTAGTTCCGTAGAGTGGAAGTGAAAAAAGTGAACCCGCAGCTGTCTGCATTTAAGTGGTTAGAAACGGAAAAAGAGCAATGTACCTAACCGTAACTGTCTGTCTTTACGGGGACTTTTGAACCATCGGCAGCGGAATGGGGAGTTGGGAGTGAATGATAGCGGAGAGGTAAAGACAGTAGAAGAAGGACAAAGACAAATTACAAAAATCACAGCATGTCCACGAGGTTAACAATGATGATGATGGGGAAGCTCTGGAGGTAAATGGGTAAACGTAAATCCTCCGTAATTTTGTCTACTCGATCATCATGTGAACACGCGAGAAGCACGGTATATACAGAACGTAATATTTTAATAATAATTTAATGTTGTCAAACGCGGATTCTGTTATTACAGCCCAAGAGGTCGCCAACCTTGCAGCTCTGGCCCACACTGCGATCAAGAAAGTCCCACTTGAAGTGCGAATCGGTGACACTGATCTCGAGTAGCAATCGCTTCAGGCGCTTGGCTGCAGCATCGCGCGCCAAAGTGTCGCGTCTGTTTGCCGCCGCTTCGGGCTTTTGGCTCAGGATCGGGAGTGGAGCGTAAAACTCCTATATTTTGGAAAGTATCGGCACTCCTTGATCTACATCATCTGACTCCTGTATTTAACGAAACCGCTCCTGAATTTTATTTCAGGCCATTCCAAAGGTGATCAGAATGGTATTGATTTTTCATGTTTTCGTGCTGTACTGTTAATGTCTTGCCCTCACCAGATGGATCCTAGTTTGCTGATTACAACTGATTACAGCCAATTTTTCCTAATTGCTGGCTGTTTACGTGACATTATTAGTACTCGATTTTATTGCTCCTTATGCCTCGATAAATGCAAGCTGGAGAGAAAGGAAACGAAAACACCAAAGATTGAGGAAGCAAAGTGGTTTTATTAGCCACATGACATACTTACAATATGCACAAGAAACTTCGCATAGGCAATTGTGAGACAACTGTTCACGAGCACAATAGCATGTTAGTTTGAAAAGTCACGTAGCCCAATCGTCGAATTCCACTGCTGCGAGACAAAAGCTATGAGGCTATAGCTTTGACAGCCGTAGTGAACAGCGTGTCGTTGCTTAACGTGTAGCGTTCACTGTCACCAAAACGCGAGGGTGCGCCGGCCATGCGCCAGCGATTGCAGTAGGCCGTGACAGGAGCTGCTGTCTACGCATTCAGTGGGTTAGGTGAGCCCCTGAAACGTCACACCAGTAAGCAGCGCATAAAATTAGGTGAACTACAGAAGGTACGCACGAAACCTTGAAACAGGGAGCGATGCCTCGTTCGCGTGGTAATGCGACGAACCAAAAAACACACAAAACTAAACACAAGCTCTGACAGCAAATCGCTTTGAAACGCGCTCCTTCCCCATTTATGGCATACGACGAAAACTTGAGGCAATCAACCATTCAACCAGGTGTAAGATACACCTTAAAGTAACCTTACAGTTAACGATTTTTTTTAAATTTACGACTACAAGAAGAAAAAATATATTGACTTCTTCGTTTTGGTTGTTTGTCCCCTCTTCACGTAGTCGCGCTTCAATCGCCAGTGGGCTTTGATATGCGATAAGTTTCCAGTACTTTTCGTTCAAAATTTCGCAACCTACTTTATTTGACCATGAGGCCTATGCTCTGGTTACTAGCAAATCGTCGTAGAGGATCTCGACCGGGTGAAGACCGCCTTAGTAATGCCTTACAGGCTATACCTATTCAGAGTCATGTCATTCGGCTTGTGCAATGTGCCAGAGACATTCAAGCGGATGATCTACAAGTGTTTACGCAGCTTTGAATCGTTCACGGGTGTATGTTACTTGGACGACGCCACTGTGTTCGCCCTAACCTTTCACTCACTTCGATTGACTTTCGTCCATTCTTTCAATTGACTTTCGTTCAAGTTAATTCATCAAAATGCCGCTTCGGGCCCAGCCAAGGTTTCATTCTAGGCCATCTCGTTGACTCATCGGGCTTCCACACCGATCCCGCCAAAATTCGTGCTGTCCTGGATTTTTCAGTGCGATCTTTTGCCAAAGACGTTCGAAGTTTTGTGTGCCTGGGCTTATATATCTCAAGATTTGTCAGAAACTTCTCCTACATTCCCACCCTCTCACTGACCTCAAAATAGATGTGGCTTTCTTGTGGGGTTAAAGTCAAGCCGATGCTTTTTTACGCCTCATTAGACTGCTCATCACATCACCGATTCTCACCCACTTTGACGCGTCTGCTCCAACTAAGGTCTGTATTGACGCTAGTGGCTACACATTGGCGGTGTGCTTGCTCAGCGTCAGTCCAGTCATGATCGAGTACTTGCGTATGTCAGCCGGCTGCTTTTCTTAGCCGAACGCAATCATTGCATTACTGAGCGGGAACACTTGGAGCTTGTATAGGCTGTTGGTAAATTCCACCCCAATTTATACGCCCGACCATTCATTGCCACCACAGCACACTATGGGGATTTTCAACGCTCAAGGATCCAATGAGGTGCCGGATTCGTTAGGCTCAGTGTCTGCAGGAGTTCACGTAAATTGTGGTCTTCAAGTCCAGCAGTTTTTACCAGGACGCCGACTGTCTCGCTCGGAATCCACGTCGACGCTGCAGAACTCGCAACAGACGACGCGTCCGTCTGCATTTTCTGACTCTCCGCTTTTTGCGGCATGGGTTACTAACAAAGGCATGACGCGTCTTACCGTACCTAATCAGCCGCCTGAACACTGACTCGTTTGACAGTTACCTTTCGCATGTTAGTCGTCATATACGACATCTTCTACCACAGAAACGTGCACCCCATAGGACAGTAACTACTTCTTGTAGTACCACTCACCTCAGTCGATCATTCTCCAGCTACTACATGATATAACAACTAACGGCGACCATGGTGTTACCAGAGTCTACAACCGCGTCCGCCACCGCTTTTTCTGTCCCAGCCTTTGCTTTCACGCATCATTACGTTGCTTCTTGTGAGTCGTGTCAACAACGCAAAATAGAGCTGTACACCCCGCCAGACTCCTGCAACCTATCGCCGTACCTGCCGAAGCATTTTTCTCAACTACACAGGTCAGGACCTTTTCGGTACTTTTCAGCTTTCGAACAGCGTTAAGATATGGCTTACTTCGTCACAATTATTTGACCAGTTTTGACATCAGGAGACCTCTACCAAGTAGCTGTGCCACCTGCGTCACCCGCCGACATCTTCACGCAAGACGTCATTTTAAAACACGGCAATCCTTGTCAACATCACACGGCCCGAGGCCATTACTTCTGATCAAAAGTAGTTCATGACCAACTTCGTTCTTGTACAATAAAGCACGAGCTCACCACGGCCTACCGTCCCCAAAGGGCCTCACATCACGTTTGAATCGCACGACCACCGACATGCTCACCTTGTGTGTTTCGGCTGGCCATTGCGACTGGGCTACTCAGTATTAATTTTTTACTTCTGCGTACAACACCCCACGTGACAACACTGCTGGATGTTCCCGCTTCTAATTTTTGTAGGGCAAAGAACCAACCTTCCCTTTTCACATACCCTTACTCAATCATTCCAAGCTGTCAATGACTTTTGCTTGCCACGCTATTACCACAGTCTAAAAGGCCCATAAGACTGCACATGAATGCCTTTCCGACTCGCAGCTGCATCAAATACATACATATCACATTCATCACCAGGACGTCCACTTTTTTACGGGCGAACTTGTCCTTGTGTGGTCTCTGTCTCGACGTGTCATCCTGTCTGAAAAGCTCCTTCTTAAATACTTTGACCCCTAGCGCTCGCTAAGTAAGTTCAGTGATGTTAGCTATGAAATAGCTCCTCTAGACCCTGCCGTCCTCTTCGACATCTTCAATCGTGGTCCACGTCGTCCACCTAAAGCCGTACCTTTAACGCAGCACCGCCCAAAAAGTGGCGGATGATGTTGGAAGGCCGGCGGATGATGTTGCAGGGCTGCTACTAACACCGTCGTGAACTAAGAGAACAATTGAAAGTAGGCATATTGGCGTTCTAGCTGATAACGGCGGTTGTCTTCACTGCTAGACTATTCTTTGATTGTAAATAGCTTATAAACAAATTCGCAACATTTAAGGCTTGGCCTAAGATCGAGGAAAATTCTGGTGTTTTAAGACACTAAAACAACTACAGTTCTCTTTTTTTAAACTCACCTAATGATTCGGTCATTGCACTGGTGAGGTGCTGGAGCCAATCGTGGAGACAATGGTTTGAGGAACATAACATAGCGGTCAAAACATTGAGAAAATGGGAGGTCTGCTACATACATCATAAAACACTCTCCTCAACAAACGCGTGTCGCATACCTTCCTATCACTGCGCATGAAATGAAGATATGCGTCGTAGGTGATAACCAGTTAGAGTCAACGTAAATGTTGAGCGTTTTTTACAAAACAATATCAGTGGATGTTTTATGTGCTGAAACACGCTATGGTGATGGAGCCCACCACAATTATATACTGCGTAATACTTTAGACCGCCTCATTTCATCAATGTCCACATAAACTTCGGCGAACAAGCTTGTTTTATTTCACTTCTATGACAATGCAACTGCAGTCTCTGCGAAATAAACCTCCTCCGTAAAGCTCATTAGGAGAGTACCCTACACGCACGCATGCTCAAGGCCTACCAGGGGGAAGGGGGTGAATAT